TCCAGAGTCTGGGAGCCTAAAGTCACTAGTTACTCAGATGTAAGCCTTGGACCCAAAACACACTGCAGAAACAATCCAGTTTGAGACTGAGTCAGGGCTAGGGGATCTTGGAAACTGTAGTTTATTGGGCACCAGAGCTCTCTCACAGAGAAGGCTCAATGTCTCACAAAATTACAGTTCCCAGATTCCCTAGCACTGAGCCAGGATAGTTAAAATGGTCTCAAACTGGATTATTTCTGCAGTGTGTTTTGGACCATACTAATTTCCGTGGGGTTGGGAGCAAATCCCCTTCAAATAAATAGGGGCTGCTTCGAAATATGGAGGCACAAAATGAGGCCCATGGGATTAGCTTCCTTCTCCCTTGTTTGTTTGTTGTGTGTCTTCAGAATTTCCAAGATATTTCACTAAAGCGAACCAGGTGTCAAAACGACCCTGTTTGCCTCAGGTTTATGCTCAATGTTGGTGCGGGGGTTTTGGCGTGCATCAGCTGAACTAGACAACGCAAGGCTGGGTTGGGGGGGGGACATGGGCCTTTTGGCCCTTGCGGACAATCCTTAGGCAAGTTCAGATGGAAAGATACAGGCTTTCATATAGTCAGGTACTAAGCCGTATGGAACTTTATCCATCATAACTGGTACTTTGAATTGTTCCTGGAAATGGAGTGGTAGTAAATGAAACTGTTGCAAAAAAAGACATGATCACATTTTATTTTAACTACTTGTACTTGTGGCTGATTGAGAAGGAAGTGAATGCAAAATAGAAAGAAGCTTAGCAATGAATTCATTTGTTAGTCTGTTCCTTTCAGCACTAGGGTTTAACCAATGCCTACCTCTTAGAACAAATAATAAATAAAATAAATTTAGCTCATCTAACACAATTGACTGCACTTTGTTGTTGTCATGTGCCTTCAAGTCCATTCTGACTTATTATGATATAGGATTTTCTTGGCAAGATTTGTGCAGAGGTGGTTTCCCCTTGCCTTTTCCTGAGGTCAAGAGAATGTGACTTGCCCAAGTGGATTTCATGGCCAAGCAGGGAATCGAACCCTGATCTCCAGAATCATAGTCCAATGCTCAAACCACTACGCCACACTGGCTTTCTCGTATTTTTCCCCCTCATATTTTTTTCTTTGAAACATGGAGGCACAAAATGAAACCTGCGAGATTAGCTTCCTTTTCCCTTGTACGGGGATGCAAGTTTACTTTGAGTTTTTTTGTTTTGGCTGCATCTGCATTGCAGAACTAATGCAGTTTGATAATGCTTTGATTGCCATGGCTCAATCCTATGGAATAGGAGTGGATTCTGACAAGAAGTGATAACTATTTAAAATGTTGGACACTTATTATACAGTTCCTTGCCTTATATAGGGACACTGACAAAAAACAAACGTTACTATAAGATTATAAAACTGTTTGCAACAGTCAAAATTCAATCTGCCACTATCCTACTAAGATTTAAAATCACTACAAACATCTTTGGTGTTTATGAGAAAGATGGGGCTCAGTGAGAGACTCAGTGAGACAAAGGCTGCTACCACATTGCAGAATTAATGGGGTTTAACACCCCTTTAACCCTCTGGCCCCATCCTACGTTATCCTGGGATTTGTAGTTTGTTGTGGCATCGTTGCTCTCTGCAAGAGAAGGCTAAATATCTGACAAAACTGCAAATCCCAGAATTTCATAGCATTGAGCCATGGCAAGGGATGTCAAACCTCATTAATTCCGCAGAGTGGCATAATTTATATTCCCTTTCTCAGCCCCATCTTTCTCTTTTTCTTTAATATGTTTAAAATAAATGTCAGAGATGTTTGTAGCTATTTTAAATGTTAGCAAGATAGTGGCAGATTGAATTCTGACTATTGCAAATAGTTTTATAATCTTGTAGTAATGTAATGTTTGCTCTTTTGTTAAAATCCCTGTGTCCCTGTATAGGACAAGCATGGAAGATTAAATATCCAACTGTATAATAAAAATGTCCATTTTAAAAAAAAGTTACATGTATCTTCTTGTCAGAATCTGTCATTCCATGTTTATGTTCCTTTTAAGTGTTCCTCACAGGGGAACATCAAGTAATGTTAAATGGTTGTGCTAGCATACATTTAAACCTTGAGATTAATTTGGATTAGACATAATGTATACTTTATCAAATGCCTAGAGGTTCTTCAGATTAAAGAAATAAAATGTATAGACATTTTGACAGCCAACAGCAGCAAAGATAGGATGCTAAGGAAAGGACATTTCCTATCCAATATATTGACGTATATGTTCCAAGTGAAAAATAATAGTTAGATCAGGGTAGGAATAGTATGACACCTCAGATGATTACAGCTTCCAGTTTTTCTTGTGCTTAATAGGGCAGATTTGACTTGCTGCCCAACAGTATTTGGCGAGCTGGGAGTTTCCCTTCTATGAGCTAAATAAATTGGATTTAGCCCCTAATAGGGGAGACCCGTTGAATCAAAATAAGGCAGCACTTTCCTGAGTCTGGTCAATTCAGTGACCTTGACTCTGAAAGTATAACACTGAATTTTGAATTCAAAGATATAGCCGTGTTAGTCTGTAAAATCAGTATGTAGAGAGATCTTGTAGCACCTTTGAAACTAACTGAAATAAAGATGTTGGCAGCGTGATTGTTTGTAGACTTTGGTCTACTTCCTCAGATGCATCTGGCAGCTCATACTGCCAACTTCTTTATTTCGTTAGTCTCAAAGGTGCTACAGGATCTCTCTACATGCTGAATTTTGAAGTGAGTGGTTCAGTTATTTAGTAATAGTATGAATATTTGTTTGCCAGAAAGCAATTTTCCTAGTCTAGTCTTGTCCCTTTGTTGTTGTTGTTGTTGCTGCTGCATGATTGCAAGTACAGCCATCTTCATCTGGCTATATACTTGTTTGCACAAAAGTACAGATTGCCCTCCATATCCACGGATTTCTTTTTTATCCATGGATTCAATCTCTATCTATCTATATTCCAAAAAGCAAACCTTAATTTTGCCATTTTATGTAAGGACACCATTGTATTATGCCATTGCATTTAATGGGACTTGAGCATCCACAGATTTTTGTATCCATGGCGTGGGGTGGGAGGTCCTAAAACCAAATGCCAGCGCATACCAAGAGCTCACTGTACAGTAATCTGAGTCGCTTACAGTCAGGTCATCACAACAGCTCAAAATTTAGGCCAGTTATTTGTTAGAAATAAGAATTGCCTTGCTGGATCAGGCTAAGCTCTGTTTAGTTAAACATCCAGTTCAAAAGTGGCTTGTCAGGGGTTTCTAGAAATTCAGTAGCTTCTTGCAAGTAGGATGCTGATGGCCAGCTTTTGTTTGTGCTTGCCAGCTTGTACAGCAGGGATGGGATAAGTGCATCCTGTGATCCCCCTAGAAGCCCATAGGAGAGGAACAGACTAACAAATGAATTATTTTACTAAGCTTATTTCTATTTTGCAATTCACTTCCTTCTCAATCAATCACAAGTACAAGTAGTTAAGATAAAGTGTGATCATGTCCTTTTTGAAATAGCTTCATTTACTACCATTCCATTTCCAAGCATAATTCAGGGTGCCAGTTAAGACATATAAAACTCCACACGGCTTAGTACCTGATTGTATGAAAGCCTATATCTCTCCGCATCTGAACCTGCCTAAGGGTTGTCTGCATGGCCAAAAGGCCTGTGTCCCCCCTCCCCTGTCGTCTAGTTCAGTTGACACAGACCAAAACACCAGCACCAGGATTGGGCCTGGTCTTGGGGTAAACGGCTGTTACCCTGGGTCAGTTTGATCCCTGGTTTGCAGTGGAGTATCTTGGAAATGATACAGTAAACCATGGCTGTTTACATGTTCCCCCGCACTCCTTACCTTGGCACACTATTGTTGGTACTGGGAAGCCCCTGTCATTATGTCTGATGCAGAAATGGGGCTCCTGGCCATGTGGCTGCTGCTGGACATCCCATTTTCACATTAGACACAGTGATAAGGGGCTTCTTGGTACCAGCAAAGGCGCAGCAAGGTAAACAGCATGCTGGTAGCAGCTCCTGGATCGGTGCGGGGGTGGGTGTATGAACACCCATCCTCATGTTGATCCAGGAACCGACCCAGGGGAGCACCAGTGCCAGAACAAGACAGGCTCAGCCATGCTATCCAGGCCTGTCTGTTCAGCCTATCTTATTGTCTTTAGGGAGGGTTTTCCCTCACAGGGAAGGAAGGACACAGGGAAAAGCTGCCTTGGTTCTTGCTTCTCGCCTGTGGCATTGCCTCCCAAGGAAGGCTCAGTTCACCTCCTCTTTGTTTTCTTTATGTCTGCAGGTAAAGCCCTTTTTATTTAAATAGGCCTTCAGGTTTTAAATGGCTAGAGAAGGATGTTTAGTGGGTGTGCTGTATTTTCTACTATATATTGAATGTGTTTATAGTTGTTTTAAATTAATGGGTAACTGTGACTCTTGGGACCCAAGTTTGTGGCTCCTAAAGCCCCGGCAACTGTCAAAAACTCTCCAACCCCGAAATACAAAACGTTTGCATCAATTTTGGTTTCCTCCCTTCCCCAAAATGGCCAGATGAGCTCAACATTGGCTGCAGATGTCGTTGTTTTCTTTCCCCCACCCCCAGAGCCCTCTCAACACCCCAAAAATAGATTGATTCCTTTAATCATCCTAAATTATACTGCCGAAGTGAAATAATTTTGGAGTAAACAGGAGTAGATTTGTGTCTGGAAGCAGTATGACCTTTGCTTAGTATTCAAAATAAATTTATGAACTCAAGAATTCCTTAATTTTCTGTATATGTCTTTTGTGTCAGGTTCCAATTGATGGATCCCAGGGTTCTAAGAGGGGGAAATACTAAGCACATCCTACAGGCTTGGAATCCAGGCCATCCCAAGTCTAGCAAAAGGAGTAGTGCAGCCTGATCCTTTAAATGTAGAACATAATGTGTGCACCAATTCTAAATGAATTAATTTTTTGTGGGAATAACGTGCATTCACTTCATGTTTTTACAGTCTGTAGCATTGATGTTTTCTTTTTCTTTCAGCAATGCACCACTCGCTTTTTCCTCCAAAGTATGTTATATTAAGTTTCGAGAATCATCAAGTGTTGGTGTGGCCCAGCATCTAACAAACACGGTTTTTATTGACAGAGCTCTGATAGTTGTGCCCTGTGCAGAAGGTTGGTATTTCAGGAGTGTTTTTGTTATGTTAGTCTCTCTTCTGTCAGTTTGTTGCTTTTTTCACCTACAGTAACTAGAATGAAGTCATACTGTGTGCGTCTTTGCTTTTCTTGTAATCAAATTTTGTTTGAGGGAATTGGAAAGAATTACAATTTTTAAAAGGGAAGAAATTTGTCTTGATTGATTTTTCTGTGGTTTAATATGATTGGGTGTCTTCTCTTGCAAAATTTGGTTGGGTTGCATTGATCCTTTGCTGCTTTCACTAAAACTACATGTGGACAACTTCATTCTAAAATTTTGTGGTTGCCATCTGCCTGATAAAGTGGAATAGTACAGAATTTGGCAACACAGCTTGAGCTGAAGCTACGTCAAGAGTGTTTTGTGATATCTTTGGAATTACCTTTGGAACAATGAGAGTGAGAATATTACTTTCTTATCTGGTTGAAAGGTGAATTCCTCAGATGTGAATAGGACCTGTAATACAGGTGTACCTCAGTTGACACAGTTCCTGGGCATTATTTCTTTAAGAGAAAATTTTGTACCAGAAGAAGAAATAACATGGAAAGAATAGGAATAGGTTCCTGTACCATAAAAAAGAAGAGTATTTTCAGTGTGTTTAAATATATATATATATATATATATATATATATATATTTTTTTTTTTTTTTTTCAAAACTAAACAGTATGCACATATGAAATGAAATAACCAGGACAGGTAACTCTTACATGAGTAAAAGAAAGCTTTAAAAACCTATAGAGATCACTTGAAAACTTCTTCCAAAATGCATCCAGGGATGATAGTTCATTTTATCAGCCCCCACTTACAATTTCCATGAGCAGCCAAACTTACACATCTATGCTTTTCTAACATTCTGGGGAAGAGGGATGGATGGTGAGACAAGCTTATCTCTTTTCCTCTCTGTTTTGATGTTACCACAT